ACTTTCATGTTGTAAAAAATTGTCACATATACTAATTTTGTCAGAATTAGATGCCAGAAAATTAGAATAAACACACAAACCACCAAAATTTTTGTTTAGAATCAACAAAGTTGTCATAAAACTACAAATAATTTTTAAGATAATAAGGGTGTATATGATGTGAACAGCCCTCCCCCTCGGATGGGCACAGCTGAAATGACTGTGGTGGTAGCTCTGTCCTCAGTGTCACAGCAGGCACCCTTTCCAGGGGGAAGCCATGCCCTGCACCCATCTCTCTGCACACAGGGGAGTCCTTGGTCCAGCTCCTACCTACGATGTTGAACATGCAGAGTGGACAAGTCCGATGCTGATGTAGCCAAGGGTCCACGCAGGTTCGATGGAATTCATGGAGGCAAGAAATGACCCGCAGCTCCTGGAAAAAACAAGCATGTCCAAACCAAAGGTTTCTGTGGCCAGGAGAGTAGCCAGCACAAGACCATTTCCCCGGCTTCCTTTGGCCTTTCTTTCCTGCGTTCAACTACTTGCAAAAGGCGGATCTGAATTTTGCCACTTAGCTGCATGACTTTTGGTGAGTTTCTTAACAGTTTTCAGCTGTAAAATGAGGATAAAAAACTAATCTACCTCCACCCTTCACGTGAAGCTGAAATGAGACAACACGTTGAAAGTACCACTGTGCCCTGGCACATGGTGCCCTCTCAGAAACAATAGTGCTCTTTCCCTGGAGGGCCAGGGAAGTGACCAAACCTCAGGGCCATCCCCCCATCCCACACAGGAACACAGGACATGGATGTAGCCAAGGCATCCATACCAGCCCCAGGCCTCCCCACTCCTGCCCCAGTCTTCCTCCCTAGCTGGTTATGGGGTGACTTACAAAGCCTGCCTTACCTGCCCCTCAGAGAATTCCTCCAGGCAGATGGCACACACAGGGGCTGAGCTGCAGCTGCTACCTGAGTCCGGCCGCTCAGCCCGAGCGCTCCTGCAGCTGGCCTGGTACCTCCTGGTGGCCAGCTGGCTGATGGCCCAGGCTGTTCGCTGCTGCAGGGGGTCCTGGGAAGAGCAGTGGGACTCAGGACAGAGCGGGCGCTCCTCTCCCTCCTGCCTAGGCCCAGCCTGGACTCACTTCCTATCCCCCAGTTAGGTCACACACAACTAGTTGAGCACCGTGGGGAATTTATCTCTTCAGAGCTCTTGCATGGCTCTGCCCATCCGCTTGCTCATCCCATCAAGCTTTTCTTCAACAACCCAGGAGAGATTTTTTATCCAGTGGCTGCTTGACATCTCAACTTGGCTATCCGGTAGGCATTTCCACTCTAACATGCCCCAAACTGAACCCCTGATCCCATTAACCATCCCTAACCATATACCTGCCCCGCCCCCAATATTTTCCATCTCACAAATGACAATTCCATTTTTCTCATTGCTGTGGTCAAAAATCTTGATGCCATCCTTGACTCCGCTCTCTCACATCCCAGTCAATCCGTGAGAACACCTGCTGACTGCCTTTGAAACATACCCAGAATAACTATTACCTTCTTTGCTACCTCCCTAATCCAAGCCACCACTGCTATCACCGGGATTCCCGTGACATCCCCCGGCTGCTTTCTGTTTCCAGCCTTCCCTCCCTGTGGTCTGTTCCTATCACAGGGCCAAGCACTGATGACAGCACAGCGAGGTGGCACACCCCTGTGGTCCCAGCACTGTGAGAGGCTAAGGCCGCAGGACTGCAAGTTTGAGGTGAGCCCAGGCAACTTAGCAACTTAGGGAGAACTTTTCTCAAAATTTAAATAAAACGAAAAAGGGCTGAGGATGTGACTCAGTGCCAAGTTCCTGGGTTCAGTCCCCAGAAACACACACACACACACACACACACCACAAGAATTGTCATTTTAAAACATGAGATCGTGGCACCTCTTCTACTCAAACGGTTCCCTTTTGGCTCAAGTGGCTTCAATTCCAGTGGCTCCCATTTCATCCTGAGGATGTAACTCAGTGACAGAGCCTGTGCCTAGCACGCAGAATCCCCAGCACCACAAGAACAAACCAAAACGAAGTCCTGACAATCACCCAAACAGTTCAATACAACCGGCCACATGCACTCTCTGACCTCACCTCCTAATCTGCCCTCCCACCCGCTTGGTTCTAGCCACACAGCCTTGGGACTGTTCCCAAGGCACACTTCTGACTCAGGCTTTCGTACCTACTGTTCCTTCCACCTCCACCCCTCCACCCCCAAACCTGTGCAGCTCACACCCTCTCTCACCCATCTGTGCCTCTGCTATAATGTCATTTTCTCAACGTGACCTTCCTTGGACTTGCTTTTAAAAATGAATACTGTACCCTTGTAATGTCTCCCCTCCTTCTGCTATTTCATTTTTCTCTGTAACATATATTACCATCTAAAACAGCACATATTTTACCTATTTGTTTTGCTTATTGTCTGGAATGAAATGGAATGTTTGTGTATTGTCGGAAATGAAAACTCCCTGAGGGGAGGGGTTCTGGGTTGCTTTTGCCCCCTGTGTTACTCCCAATACGTGGAACAGTGCCCAGCATACAATATGTGCTCAGTATATTTGTTGGATGAACGAATGAATGAATATGGGGAGCAACATGGGGAGAAGCTGCCAGAAATCAACAAAGATAGATGCTCGAGTATTTAGATGTACACTGCTTCCCGGGCGTACGTTCCTTCCTCATTTTCTCCGTCCTGTCCCCTCCACACATTCTCATCCCCACCTCCACCAGGGAGCCCACACTGCTCACAGGCCTGCTGCGGTGGGGGCGGCACCGGATACGAAGCACCGAAGCCAGGATGATCACAAAGATGGTGCCCACCACCGTCAGGAGGATCCATACATCGTAGTCTGGCTGGGAGACAAGCAGAGAAGGAAAGGGTCAGACTCCAGGAAGGAACTGGGCTGATTAGAGAGGAGACATAGGAGCAGTGAGGACACACAGACAGCTGGATGTTCCCTGGAGTGTCTCACCTGAGGGAGGAGGTAGGGATGAACATGGAAGTGGCCCCTTTCTGCCCAGGGGCACTCATGGGAGGGGGTTCTCTGGAAACCAACGTGTTTAAAAAGAGGGGAGAGGAACCTCTTGCCAGTGAGCAGCTGGGTAAGGTTCCTAGCCAGTGGAGAAGCAGCTATCAGGGGTCAAGGCTTAGGGGTCAGGCAGGCTCTGCTACTACATGCCATGAGACCACAGAGCTGGAAACTTCTGAACTCATCTGACCCAATATGTTCATTAAGCAGATGATGCCCAGAGAGCGGGAAAAACACTAAGGGACAAAACTGGGTAGAAGGTCTCCGGGAGTCCGAAGGCGCTTGGTGGGAGTTGCCACAGGATGAAGTAAATGTGAGAATGGGCCAGGGCACGGCTGGTGGAGTGGAGTGCTCACCCAGGCTGGGGGCTCCTTCAGCTCGATCCTCACGTGGGCCTTCCGGTTCTTGTACACGAACTCCATCAGCTTCTCAGCATCATTACCCCAGATTAGCACCACTGGCCACGTCAGCCCCAGGGGCTGCTGCAGCTGCAGAGGAGAAAGGGACCCCAAGGACTATGATGACTTCTCCCCCTCCCCAGAACTTTATCTTCCTCCATCCAGCCCCTCCTCACACACCCTGATGTCCCTGCATACCTGCTCAGCGGCAGCTCGGTCCTCAGTGATGTCAAAGAGGACGGCACTGGCTCCTCTCTCACCAGCCATCCGGGCCTGCAGAGACACACAGCGGAGGTTTGGCTGGAGTCAGAGAAGGACACAGCCCATGCACGGCTGGGTCTCACCACCCAGCCCCGGTCCTAGGACGGTGCACTGGGTGCACCTCTGTGCTCTCACATGCATACAAGCAAGGAGGGAGTCAGGAGGCCAGGACCCCTGCCAGGCTCCAGCCCAGCCAGGTTCTGCTGCTCGACAGGCCCACACTCAGTCTTTCCTTTTGTAAGAGAACAAACCCTTCACAAAGGCTTACTGGGTGCCACATGGTGGCTCTGGCTCTTGGGCTAAGAACAAATAAGACACAGCCCCTGCCCTCACTCAGGGCTCAAGCAGGGTGAGAACAAAGACTAGGGAGTGACCAGCACCCAGTAGGAGGAGGACACAGAGGAGGAAGGGGAGAGCAGGGGAGAACTCCTTTGGGACCCAGCTGGGTTTCCTAGGTCTTCGCCTCGCCTTCCAAGAGAGGCTGTGGGACTCAGAGCCCGACTCCAGGCCCAGTGGCAAAGGCTCCACCTCAGCCCACCTCACGTACATGCTCCTCCACCACTCTCTAGCTTCCAACTTACTCTGGCTTCATTTCAAGGACTTAGAGGAGTCCTTGTTCAGTGCTTTACCCCTTCGTCCTCTCCCTTAGGGTGACTCAAGTAGGGAGGGGCTTGAGGGACACAACTATGTACACGGGTGTTCACCAAGGGCTCCAGGAGCAGGCTTGAGGGGGCCCAGCATCTAACCAGCCAGGCAGAGCAGATAGCAGAACTGGAAAGAGAAGTAAAGGCGGGAACCCAAGGGGTACGTATGTGGGGGCAAAAGGAGAGAGATAAGAGCAGAGGGTGCGGTGGAGGCACAACGGTAGACCAACTGGCGTGCAAACACTGCCTGAGCTGGGTCTCTTTGCTCGGCACTCAGTGGCCCTCTTCCCTAGAACAGAGGCTCCTTTGACATGGCACCAGGCTGTGACCTCCCTCCCCCAGGGTCCCCGCTGGATCTCTGGGCCCTTGGCAGGCAGTGAAGGGGTTAACCTCTCTGCAAGCAGTGGTGGCAGAAGAGGAGCCAGTGTTGGGACTTACTCATACTCCCGGTGCTTTGATCTCTGCCTGCCTTCCCAGGGAGAGCCTGTCCCAACAGGTCTCCTGCCAGGCCGGCTGGGAGCAGCTCCTCGCTCCTGCTCCCCAAACAGTGGCAGGGGCCAGGGGGCCCCTCCGAGTCATCTGCCTGCAGGCAGGGGAGCAGGGGAGCAGCGGGGAGGAGGGGTGTGGAGACACACAAATGGGCTCCATTTTGATCAGAGGGCGACTCCCCTCTTCCTTTTTTCTTCTCTGTCTTCTGGGAGCCAGGCTGGACTCTCTACAGGGACCAGCACTGGGCCCAGCCTGGGCTAGAAATTCGCAGAACTGCAGAATGGAATCATCGAAGGAATTAAGAAGCCATAGGTTCCATCTTCCCCTCACCCATTCCTCCTATGAAGTCCATGCCACCAAGGCTCCTCCAGGCAGGATGAAGCTCTCCAAGCGATGGCATGGGAGCAGTGCCAGGGGGAAGGAATCCCTGCTAGGGGAATCCTACCTGAAACCTCATATTCCAGGGCCTTGGCCTGGGAGTGGGAGAGGTTCCGCAGTGGGCACACAATTGGAATTCCCAGAACAAGCCTTGGCCGTGGCCTGGTCTGCAGGGCAAAGACTCATTTCTTTCATATTCCCATTCATATTCCCCCTCCGCTTTCCTTCTCCCTTGTGGTACTGGGGATCAAACCCAGGGAGCACTGACTATATCCTTAGCCCTTTTTTTATTTTTTACTTTGAAACAGGATCTGGTTAAGTTGCCTAGGCTGGCCTTAAACTTGCAATTCTCCTGCCTCAGCCTCCAGAGTAGCTGGGATTACAGGCATGTGCCACCATGCCTGGCTCCCACCCTATCTCTTTGAAGAATTGGGGTAGGAACAGTAGAAAGCAATTACGGTGACATTCAAACACCCTCGCCCATTACAGCCCATAATTACCCAGCTATAAAAGTGATCAAAGAGCCCAGAGAGTTGGCCAACATGAGAAAACAAACAGGACTTTCAGGCAATGGATTCCTGTTCTAGGATTAAAAAAGCAAGATTTGGGGCCTAATCTGGAGCTCTGTGTGGCTCCTGCCCACCTGCACCCAGGTGCTTCTTTGGGGTGGAATCTGGAAGGCAAAGAGAGAACAGGTAGGCCTTTAGGGCCGGTAGACTGGGCTGCAGAAAGACAACCCAGGGATCTCTCCGGATGCTTCAGAGTGAGCCTGGCTGGCAGGCAGCAAGCAAGGCTACCCACGGCTTTTGGCACTGCAGCCATTCTACAGCGAGCAGTGAGTGAGGTGAAATCCTGCCTCTTGCTCACTGGGCTCACTGGGCTCATGGTCGGCTATGGCACCTCTCTGGGCTTTAGACTTTCCTCTCCATTTCTCAGTGACAGTCTCTACACATCTTCTGCTCATCCAAGATTAAGTGAGCACTTACTGTGTCCGGGGCAAAAAGCCAGGGAAGGCCAGGCCCTCCAGAACAACTCAGGATCTAGCTGGGGAGACAAGGCCTCTACATATATAAAATTGTAACAGTGTTTTGTTTTTTGGTTTTTCTTTTTTCTTCTGGTACCAGGAATCGAACTCAGGACCTTGCACTTGCCAGACAGGCACTGTGCAGCTGAGCTAAATCCCCAGCCCCTACATATATAAAATTATAATGCTGATTGCAATATCCTGGACACAAATGAGTGGGGTAGACCAGTAACCAACACTTCTGCACTTCAGAATACTTGTCCTCCCATTATCCCACTCCAAATCAGACACAAATATTCAATATACAAAACAAATAAATATGAGGCAGCTCATTGTGAGGTAAGGTGGGATAGGAAGGACTCTTGCAACCCTCCCCGCTCCTGCTCCTCCACAAAACCTAAACTTTAGCAGAACACAGCGTTGGAACTGTAGGCAAAGACCTTCACTGCTGGAGATGTGCTAGATTTCTTCTCCTATTGGGCTGGCTGGGCTAGGCCAGGCTGGAAAGGTTTATAGAAGGGGTGAGTTCCTCTGGGCGTGGGAGCAAGGGTGGAAGGAAGAAGGGCTATAACCTTTACTGGAAAGGGCAAACCTGCCCAGACTGCCTCAATTTGTATCTTGGCTCTACTACAGTTAGCTGTAAGACTATGAGCAAGATACTTAACTACTCCATGCCTCAGTTTCCCTTATGGCAAACTAGGATTGTAAGAGGACCTACTTTTTTTTGGTACTGAGAATCGAACTCAGGACCTTGCCCTTGCTAGGCAGGCACTTATGCAACTGAGCTATATCCCCAACCAAGAGGACCTACTTTATAGGGTTGTCATGAGGACTACATAAATTAATCTATGTAAAGCACTTATAATAGTGCCTAGAGCATAGTAAGTGCTCCTTAAGTATTAGTATTATGTATTAGTGATTATTGTATCAACTATTGCTATTACCATATGGATACGAGGTCATATACATGGCTTCATTTACTCCTTACTACTCTAAGAGTCATCAAACCCACTTTTGAGTTGGGACAACTGAGACTTGGAGACACTAAACGACCTGCCCAGGGTCACTCGCTGATAAGCAGCAGAGGAAGAACTCCCACCCAGGACTTCAGCCTCCAGAGTGTCTGCTCTTAACCGCTTGGGAGTGGCCTCTAGGGAGAGAGGCACAGCTCCCACCCACCCATGTGTCTCTGGATGTGACTCCTTCCACTAGGCAAAAGGTCACTGTACTGGGCCAGGCATGAGGTGATAAGGGTCTCACTTATCACTAGGATGAACATGGAGCTGCTAAAAAAGAAACAGAAACCAATTTCGGTGAGTAGGGGGGAATTAGTGACAAGAAAGGAGAAATCCAGAAGAATTATGGTGAGGGTTTCAGAAAACAAAAAGAGATAACAGACAGAAGAAAATAAAAACCAACCTTGTGAACCATAAAAACACAGGATGGTGCCAGGCGTGGAGACACATGCCTGTAATCCCAGCACTCAGGAGGCTGAGGCAGGAGGATCGTTGCGAGTTCGAGACCAGCCTGGGCTACAAAGTGAGCTCAAGGCCAGCCTGAACTGCCTAGCAAGACCCTGTCTCAAAAAGGCAAAAAAAAAAAAAAAAGCACAGGATGGGGGGTAGGGTGTGGCTCAGTAGTAGAACATGTGCTTAGCATGTGCAAGGCCCTGGGTTCAATTCCAGTGCTCCACACACACACATACAGAGCATGGGATGATGAAGTCTACGACAATGATAGAGTGATGACTACAATAACTTTCTGAATCATTACTGTATGCTTGACACAGGGCTAAGAGCTTCCATCAGTACTGTCTCATTAAATCTTCACAACTACTGATATAAGCTCATCATTATTCCACTTTTACAGCGGAGGAAACAGAGGCTTGGAGAGGTGAGCTAAAATGTCCAGGTCGCACTGAGCTTTAGTAGAGGAGCCACGCTTTAAACCCTCGAGAGTCCTAGCTCTGTCAATGATTGTGGCACCAATAGGATGACACAAATAGGGAAAACCACAACTGTACTGACTGAGTCACTGGTTTCCACATTTTTTCCTTACCAAAGACCTCACTTTTGGCCAGGCGTGATGGCTCACACCTGTAATCCCAGCACTAGGGAGGCTGAGCAGGAGGATTGTTGTGAGTTCGAGGCCAGCCTGGGCCACAAAGTGAGCTCAAGGCCAGCCTGAACTGCATAATGAGACCCTGTCTCAAAAAAAAAAAAAAAAAAAAAAAAACAAAGACCTCACTTTTGCTTTATACTTACCATAAGCTATATCTTTAAAATAGTGTGTTCTACTAAGATAATTGCATTTATTATATGCAATCCATTTTCCTATGAGATGATAACCTGTGTGAAGACACTGAATCAACCAAAGGCAAAAATGAGTACTGCAAACAAGCATATGGTACTTCTGAAATACTGGAAGTATTACTGCCCTCAAAGACCTAGTGTGAGCCGGGGACCCCCACCAGGTAGGGGCTGTGGGGTCAAAGGATGAGACCTGTGGGAGGCCTTGGACCTGCCCACTTGGAAGGCACCTGCCCACGTGGAAGGCACTGCCCACTTGGAAGGCACTCACAGGCAGCCAGTGAGAGCGGGAGAGACGGCGGGTATTGTCACAGTAGCCAAGGCATTTCTTCTGAACCCCTAACAGTTGATTTGTTTCCACGTTTGTTTTAGCTCAGACACAATTTGGCACTCGACATATGATTTTCACCGTGGGGGTAGGAAATCCAAGTCTCATTTTGTGGTGATGGACACAGAGGCCCAACGAGCACCTTGAAGGGCCCTGAGCACGTGCTCCTTGCCTCACAGTGTCCGTGGCCTGTCCCAACTCTCCCGCAGGCGTGCTGCGGGAGAGCCCCTCCGTGGAGATGCCTGAGCTTCCCACCGGTCACATGCTGAAATCACAAGCTATGCTGAAAGGTCAGTGGGAACTCTGGGTTTTTCTGTAAAATTTCCAGCATAAAAACACATTGTTTTTTTTTGGGCTGGGGATTTAGCTCAGCGGCAAAGCGCCTGCCTGGCAAGCGCAAGGTCGTGAGTTCGGTCCCCGGTGCCGGAGAAAAACCAAAACAAACAAACAAAAAAAACCAAAAACACATTGTTTTTATAACAGAGCCACCAGAGCCTCTCTGAGCCCTTCTGCCCCCACCCCCAACTCCGCTCACACTCACACTGCCCCTAATGCAGAGCAACACTGGCACCTCCTTACCAAATGAGGATGAAATCCTTTGCGAAGCAGGGGAGATGAAATATCCAGAGAGGGCAGCCTCAGCCTAACAAAATTCTGCTGCCATGAGACCCCTGCAGCTTTGCAGAGATGCCCATGTTCCAGCTCCTCCACAACCGCCTTGCCTGACCCTGCTTCCCACCTCCGTGGAAACCTCTTCTGCATCAGCATGGCCAGGCCAGGAGAGTATCGTCGCTTACCTGTGGGTGCCGCATTCTTTGTGTGCGTGAGTGTGTGTGTGTGGTGGGGTATTGGGGATGAACTCAGGGCCTTGAGCATGCTGGGCAAGTACTCTACCCCTGAGCCATGGCCCCAGCCAGCCACATGCACAACCTGACCACATCCTTCTCCCTGGCCCCCAAAGGATGAAGTAAGAACCTGGGTTGTTTCCTTGAGGCTCTCCAGAGAATCAGGAAACCCGTAAGGGGTCTGGGTTTGAGTACAGCTAGCACTATGTAGCTGGCACTGTGGTTGGGGTGTCACTCTCCGTTCTCCCCACCCCTAAGTCCACCTGTCTGTACCACAAATAATCTAACTATAATCTACACAAGGGTTCAGTTTTCCAAATAGGAAGGAAGGCAGTAGAGCAGAGATTAAAAGCCTAGGTTTGCGAACCAGACAGGGCCAGGTTCAAATCTCAGCTCCACCCCCTCCTGCTTTGTGTCCGGCTGGCAAGTTACTTAATTTCTTCAGATCCTCCCTGTGTCCTATGCCAAATGGAAGGTAATGTCTGCTGTTCCAGATTGTTGTGAAAAGTAAATGAGATAATATATCAGGCATCTGTCCCATGTGCCACTAGGCGCAGTGGTAAGCACACAGAAAATAGTAACAGTCACTATTAGTTAAAGCAGGGCTCTCAGCCACAGATTAAAGAGCTTATGAGGCCAGAGCAGAGTGCGGCAAACGAGAGAGCCCACCAACTGTTGAAAGGGCGCGCCTCCTGCCCAGCTCCTGTGGACTGGGGCCTGCACGCAAGTGGAGCAAGTGCTGTTGGAGAATCGGGGTTTTTCCTCCAGAAAATATTTTATAGGGACATTTTCAATTTTTAAGTGTGGCAATTAATTTGCATTTGGAAAAGTCACTGTGTGGGCTAAACACACCCCTTGCCCAAGCCGAAGCGAGTCTGTGGGCCAGCAGTTGCAACCTAAGAGGAAACATGCAAAATGTTCAAGGATGGGTGATGGCAGCTGTCTTGCTTTCTTGGCAAAAGCGTTCAGTAAATGTTAGCCGGGTGTCATGGTGCACACCTGTAATCCTAGCACTCTGGGAGGCTGAGGCAGAAGGGTCACAAGTTCCAGCCCAGCCAGGGCAGCTTAGCAATTTAGTAAGAGCCTGTTTCAAAATAAAAATTTAAAAAGGCATGGAGATGTAGCTCAGTATAAAGGCTCTGGATTTAATTTCTAGTGCAAAAAAAAAAAGTGTTCAGTAAATGTTTCTGAAAAGTTCTGGTGCTAGGCAGGGAATAGCCTTAAGAACTTTTAAACTGAGGAGGAGAAGAGGGGATTGGGCACCTACTAAAATGAAAATCCAAATTCTACGGGTGCTGGGTGGCAGACAAAGGGCAGAGGTGTGAAATTCCCACCACTCACCCACCAGGAGAGGGAGTGAGGTATATCGCTCTTAGAAGACGAAGGGACAAGAGAGTAGGGGGCCTCTCACAGTTCAGGGCATGTGCAGGGTCCAGTGGGAATCTACCTTGCTGGCCAGGGACAGGCAGGGGCGAGGGGCCCGTCGGGGACTCTCCAGCTTAACAATACTGATGAATCCAGGCTCCAGATTGTCGTCGTCACTGGCATTGCACAGGTACAGGGGATGCGACTGCAGAAAGAGAGACAAAGACCTGGGTCAGGGAGGCTCTTTGGGCAGAAGCGAACTATAGGAACCAAGTACTTCGATGCTGCCCTAGGCAGGTTCCAAGTTGGTCTCTCGGTGCTAAGAAAGAGCTGTCATGTTATTGGGCTGCTTCACAGTAAGCCAGTAGCCATCAGCTGTCGTTTCAGAGGTGCCGATACCAAGGACACAGGGGCTCATCCTGGCCCCAGAAATGATGTACTGGAGAAGGAGCTCGCTCAACCCATCTGCTCTGCACTCGAGGCAGGTCCAGTCCAAGATCCTGTGCCTCTGTGGCCAGCTGTGCTGAACAATGACTAACGGGGAAGCAGGCCAACATATGCTACCAGAAATCTGAGCCTCTCTTAATCAAGGGATGAGACTGCATTATTTTAACTCTTCTTATTCAAGTGATTCTAATACCCATTTGAATCTAATTTTTCCTGAGTCAAATGCTACCAGTGCTATGAGAACAAAGTGTGATTTATTAGGCCCTAGATAATTGAATGGGCCAGAGACTCTCATATGGTGGAAACCTAGTGTATCCTGAAAAGAAAGAGATTTCCTATAGCCAGGCATGGTGGCGCATGCCTGTAACCCCAGCACTCGGGAGGCTGAGGCAGGAGGATGTCTGCGAGTTTGAGGCCAGCCTGGGCTACAAAGTGAGCTCAAGGCCAGCCTGAACTGCATAGTGAGAACCTGTCTCAAAAAGACGAAAAAAAAAAAGAGATTTCCTACTAAAGAGCAGCCTACATGTCTCTCTCCACTGATGCTGAAGTCTGAAAGACCTCCAGAAAGAACCATCAGAAGAACCATGGAGCATTATGAATTTATGAAAATGATAATGGTGATGGGCTTAAAAGCACAGTCTCTTTCAGAAAACACTTTTAGGCCATTTCCATTCACTGTATCACACTGTAGTCCCTTGAACACAGTAGGTTCTTAACAAATATACATTACTTTGCTTTGAATAAACATGTCTAGGCAGGGAGTGCTAAGATGGGAAGATGTTCCATTCTTGCTCCCAGAATTTAAAGACTACGAGGCTGCTGATGCTGATCAAAGTTTAGTGTGGAAGAGAGCTTATGCTCCCCTGTTCCCAGAAAAAGGCTGCCATGAGGTTGGGGTTGTTCTCATATTAGTGAAGCTATAACATCCAGCTCAACAAGCTCTATCCGTCTGTCCACTGTCCATGCATGCAACCATATATCCATTCATTTCCTGATTCTACCAACACTGAGGCCCCCATGGTGCCAGTGTATGAAACACCAGAGTCAGTGGTGAGTGAAAGAGCTCCTTGCCTTAACGAAGCTCTGAAAACGAGCATGTAAACACACAGCACTGTGATGTTACTATGCCTCTCTGTTCAAAGGCCTATAGGAGGACACAGAGACAATAACCTCACAGGAAAGGGAGAGCATCTGGCTGTCCTGCAAGTGACAGGACAGCTTCCACAGAAGCCAGATAGGCGTGTGTTCACCTAATGGACCAACAAAAGGGTATGGGGTGGAGAGGTACATTCCTGGCCGAGGAAGCCACCCACACCTGGGCACTGGGTCAGAATGGACTTCAGGAAGACAGGTCTGGCATGAGAGAGAAGGCAGGAGATGACGCTGGAAAGACCAGCAAGAGTCAGGACATGGATCAGGGACCACAGATCTGCATTTGAGGATTCTATTGGTGACAGCACCGAGTGTGGTGAGGAATCGGATGTCAGATACTCCAATGGAACGAGAGACACGAGATCTTCAGGAGGGCAAATTTATACCCTCAGAAGTCACTGATGTGCTTGCTCCTCCTGGTCACCCCAGTCCAGCTTTCTCATGATGACCCCAAGATGCCTCTCACTGACCAGAGGGCCAACTGGGAGAGGGAAAGTTATAGGGAGAAAAGCAGACTGTACAGAAAAATTGCAAATATTTCTACACTGCTCTGCCCACCAACATAATGGGGAACCAGCACCTGCAAGCAGTGCTAGAGTGAAGAAGGCCTCCAATACAGTGGGAGGGGAATCTAGTGTCAGAGTCCTCATTTGCCTGGCCCTGAACCAACAACCGTGGAAGAAGGAACAGGAGGACAGGACCCATTAATAAATGTCTCTGCCGTGCCAGGGCTCAGACGATGCCTCACTATGAGGTGTTATCATCTCCTTCTGCTCTCCTACCCCCAGGAAAGGGGCATTAAGCTTAGAGAGCTCAAGGTCACACAAGGTTAGCACTTAATGGAACTCCACACAGAGTCAACCCTCCACTGTCCGGTAACAGCAATGAGGATAGTAACCGTTTATACTTACCGGGTAGAGGTGACTGTTTTAAATACTTCTGTGTATTAACTCTTTTTCATCCTCACAGAAACAGCGGAAGTAGATACCACCACCATCCCTATTTTAAAGATGAAGAAACTGAGGCACTAAAAGGTTCAATAACATGCCCAAGTTATACAACTAGTACGTGGCAGGGATCAGATGAAATGAGAAGTAGTAGAATAAAATAAGGTTTTTAAAAAAAGAGAGCCAGCTGGGCGTGGTGGCACACGCCTGTAATCCCAGCACTTGGGAGGCTGAAGCAGGAGGATCGTTGCAAGTTTGAGACCAGCCTGGGCTACAAAGTGAGCTCATGGCTGGCCTAAACTGCACAGCAAGACCCTGTCTCAAAAAGACAAAACAAAACAACACAAATAAAAAGAGAGAGCCAGGTGTGGTAGCATACACCTGAGATCACCATGAGTTGAAGGTCAGCTTGGGCTACATAGTCAGTTTAAAGCTAGCCAGAACTACACAGCAAGACCGTGCCTCAAAAAAAAAAAAAAAAGAGAGAGAGAGAAATTTAAGGTCAATTTACATGACTTTGAAAACATGACCAAGAAAATTTGTGTTATTAGTTTTAATTTTAAAGCAAAAGAGCCCAGTAGAAGTCCTTGAATGTTTTTGGTGATGCCCTAGGGTTTTGTCCTCAGCCTCTTCTCATGCTTCCTGTGCGGAGTGGCTCAGCCAGGTCCACAACCTTGGTTCTCCTGATAGAAGACGACAGTGGGGTCTAGTCTTCTCTTGAACTCCAGACTCAGGTGTCCAACTGAGTGACCCTGCAACACCTCAAACTCTACCTCTTCAAACTGAACATACCTTTCTCCTCCCAAAACTGCTCTCCTAGCATTCCCTGTATTAGAAATCAGAACTACTATCCATTTGTTACCCAAGCCAGATAGTACCCTCCTAGTCTTCTCCACCTCCTTTATCCCTCTCCCAACCAACAATACCCTACCACCAAATTCTAACCATTCCACCTCCTAAATATTTTTTCTTTTCCCTACTTTCTTCCATTCCCGCTATGGTACTTTAATACATGCCAGCACCCGTGCCATCCTGATTTACTCTAATAACTTCCCATCTAGGGTCACTTTGCCCTGCTCATTTCTCTATATTGGAGCCAAAATGGTTTAAAATGCTAAAGCAAGCACATGACTCTACGGAAAGCTCTTACAAAACTCCTCACAGCTCTTGGAATGAAGTCTGCACTCTAAACAGAGCTTAAAAGCTTCTGTCTGCTTGGGGCCTGCCTCCATGGTTTCCCTCTTGTACCTCCTCCTCCTTGGCAACCCCTGCTCCAGAATAAACACTGTGGGCACTTGCTGCTCCGTCCTGCCTTTCCCTGCTCATAGACTTCTCCCACCGTGCTGGGATGGTCTTTTTGCCTTCTCCTCCTGGGGCTATGGCTGAGCCTTTCCCACCCCCACTGCCCCTTCAGCCTGCCGTTCCCTGGGTGCTCAGTCAATATTTGTTGATTAAATACTGAAGGTCTACAACCAGATAACTGATGGTTAACTATAAAGACAACACAGCACACACCAAAAATCCTGATAATGGTTGCTCTGGGAGAGGAAGTAGAGAGTGGTAAAGAAGGGCTTTGATTTTTTGCTTTGCATAATATCATAGGATGATATACTGAGATAGTGAGTTTTGTCTTTTGCTGTGACGGAAGAATAAAAAGCGGAGAGCTGTTTGTGTTTTGTTCTGGGCCCTTTCCCTTCTTCCGCTCCAAGAAAGCAACCTCGTTCTCCAATTTCCTCGCCTCAGGGGCATTTGCCAAGTGCAAGTGTTACCAACAGACCTCCCTTCCTGGCTTTTTTCTTTTAAATTCACTCATGGAGGAAATGGAAGTGTCCTGAAGACAGACAGGAGAAGTCCGGGGATGCCCCACATAGTGGGAATCTCAGCCTGCGCCCAGGAAAGGTGGGCCCTGCAGAGCATCCGGAGGCTGGACCTGGCAGAGCTCGTGCACCCATATGGATTTCAAGGGCACACTTGTGTTTGGATGACGGACATATTTGTAGCAACTGGTGGGAAAATACCAGAGAGGTTCCTTCGGCATTCTAGTTTTCATAAAACTCTTGGATTTTTCTTCTATTCCGTGTAGGGAGTTCCCTTGAAACAAATTTCTGCCCATCTAGTGGGATAGGGCCTTGGAGACAGGTTGAATTTGATACAGATAAAATACAGTGGCTTGTCTTGTACAGTTATATCAGTGGCATGAGGACCACATTCGCTCTACTTTTTTATGGTTTGACTCTTCACAGTGAGTCTTTCAAGTAGTCTCAGATTAAAAATAAAAACCAGTCCTCCCAAACAACACTGTTCATTACCTAGCAAGGGATCGCTAGTCTCCTGTGGGAATAGGGAATGAAGAGGCCACCTATGCCCCGCTCCATGGAGTTTTCAGCCAGGTACATGGCTCCTGAGGAGAAAACAGATCCAGATGCATCTGCCTCCTTAGGATGCCAGGCCTCCTAATGACAAAGATGCGAACATGATTTCCAAGTCGAGCCTTCTGTCCTTTCAGTGACTCCAGGAAAGGACCAAGAACCATCAATAGGCTTTTAGAACTGGGTGAGGGTGTTGTTGGAGAGAGCTCACAGGAACTGGGGGAGTTTAAGGATTGGTCTGCATCTTCCTGAGAGGTCAGATGTTGTATACCCCCGTCCCAAAGGCTGCT